AAGCACGCAAAGTGGAAAAGGAGTGACTGGGGCGCGGGGAGCAGTGCAGAGAGCTCTGGGTCAGCACTAAGCAGCTTGCTTGGAGCAAGGCGTGCAGCGCAAACTCTAATTACATATCACATTTAAAATATATATTATATATATATATATATATCGCTCAGCCCTAATTTCAACATTACTTTTTTTTTTTTCTTTTTTTTATCCGAGCACAGATATTGACTCGTATTACTCGTATAATATTTGTACTCGACAAAAGTGCTTTATCCGTACCGGATACTCGTTTCAGCCGAGTATCCGGCTCAACTCTAGTTAAAACACAACCATCACCATCAGATCACTTTTTCTATTTGTTCATCAGGCTGTTATAACTCATGTAAAGCATCCAAAAAAAATGTGAAGTTAAAGAATTAAAGGTCAAGAATTAAGGGTCAAGAGCCCAGCTAAAGCAAACACTAATCTCCATAATGGTGACTTAAAATTTCTGTTTTTCTCCTTCAGTGATTTTGCTTGTTAAGATCAGGTGTCTTCAATAATGCTCAATCATCATTCAATTATTCACTTAATTATCTCATTAACTTTAAAACTGCTTCAGTGTTCATTTAACACTCTGCTCAGAGTTTATATAATTCACACTCTCAGTGTTAAAGTCCTCATTGTTATAACACTGGGGATTTTGCTGTGTAGATTCAAAGAATGAAAAATCTATCTCGGCGAAAACTGAACTGATCCTAATGCCATAGGCCTCGTTGGAATCGTCTATTAGCACTGAAAATAACAATATAAGTTTCATAATTTTTTGGCAGAGGATTGGCCGAGATATCTATCGAAAACCAACGTGCGCGTTTCTAATGTTGTCCCAAGATGAGACGCGGGTGACGTCACTATCCCAGCAAATTCTGTGAAAACCATATCTAGGCGAAAACTGAACTAAAATAACTATATAAGTTTTACAATTTTTGGCGCAGTTTTGGCCGAGATATCTGTCGAAAACCAACGTTTCATGGCGGACGCGGGCGGAAGTGCGGGTGATGTCACTGTCTCCGAATGAAATCGCTCCGAAAACCCAGAACAATAATTTTGACAATACATTTGATAATATAAATCTGTTCATGTTACCCAGGCAAGCCTATGGCTCAGAGATGATTTCACAGATGTGCTATAGCCTAATGACCAGTGATAAATCTACTGGTTGTGTTGGAAATACAGTAGGCCTATAGGCTATTAAAAAAATACATGAATAAAAAACGAAATAATATATAAAATAATTATTAGAAATGTCATTTATGAAAAAGATTTTAAAAAGATGAGTTATCTTCCTCACGTCATCTGCAAAATACTGACTTTGCAAATAACTTTATACAGGGTCTGTAATGGTGTGTATTATTATATAGAGATAAAGATATAGAGATATGTGCGTGAGTGTTTGTTTAACACTTTAAAGTGTTTACATTTTAAGACTTTTTAATTCATATTTTTTCTTAACTTTTGCACTAAATGTTTCTTTCAATTGTAGCCTAATAAATTGCTTTTATTACAAAATGTGTCTCCTTATATGTTGTAAGCACACAGAACATCTTGAAAAAATGACCTATTAATATAGCATATTCATATAGATAAGATAGATTAAAACTATTATGTCTTAAATCAAAAAGCATTGACTGTCATTTACCATGCCATAAGATATTATGTCTTGTTTTCTGGGGAAATAAATTAAGACATAAAATCTCATGGCATTTACTCATTTTATGCTTTGTGATTTAAGACTTTTTAAATATTTGGACTGGAAACACACAAATACGAAAAGATTTTTTTGTTGCAATGTACAGTTGTGTCAGATAAGCTTACCTGTCCTTACCACATAAGTTACCTGGCATTTGTGTCAAAGACCTGTGTAAGTGACTGATGCATTGAACCAACAATAATAAAAGACATTAAACACAATATTTTTTAATCAAAATAACAGGTTAATAAAACATTTAATATAAAGTATATATATAAAAAAAAAAATTATAAAAAGGGGGGGGGGGGGGTTGGGGAAGGGGGAGGAAAGGCCTTCACTTTTTCTGTCTATGTTTTTGTATGGCCCTCTTTACCTTTTTATTCACCAACTTCTGCTGGGCTATTTTTGCAACCTGTTTGACTTTAAGTGGTGAAATGTTGTGTCTTCTTAGCTTCATCTTAATTGATGACTGCAAAGGCGAAATCAAAACATAGGGATTTTTCTTGGGGACTGGTGTATCTCTCTGGCCTTCACCGCTGCTCCCTGGCGCATCATCTGACCCCCTCGTCTCCTTCCAAAGAAAATTCACAGTGAAGGATTGATCATTATTGTGCCAATAAATACAGCATAATCATTCACAGGATATCTATTTACCTGGCTGGTCTCAGGACTTTCCTCAGGAGTGGTGCCGAAGTCATCTTCCGATGCTCTCACCCTCTTCCTTGGTGTGTCCATCTTACGGCGATGACGTACTCGCTTGAGTCCCACTCCAGTGTTGTCTTCCCCTTGAAGCGCAGCCTCAAAAAGCTCTAGGGCCTGCTTGGCAGACAAGTTTGTGACATAAAACTTGTCTGCCGTCTGAGTGTCGTGACACATGAATTTTGATATTTTATTTCTGTCCGTTTCTGGATGAGTGAATTTGGCCTAGAAATGGAGGGAAAAAAGTAGAAAACAAAAGCAGTTTTAGGAGACAACACCTAACTGAAAGTCTCTGAAATAGGAAGCCCCAAAATGAGAGAAAACACTTACATGGCTGTTTTTGGGCATGGCATGACATTTGAAAAAGCTCAGAAGAGGTAAGGCTTGTGTTTCATTCAGAGGATCTTTCCTTCATTTAGAGAAACACAAATATTTTCACTTTCCCTGACATCGCTTTTTTAACCAGCATCAGCTCTAATCATACTGACCAAACATTTATTAATTTTCAGAATTGTAACTCTTTAAACGCCAGTTTCTTTACACAACGCCAGTGTTGTTGTTTTTTTTAATAAATATTATAATAATAAATGTCCATATATTAAATGCTGAGCAGATATTTTTTCTTTAAATATTACAGCCTTGGATATGACAATGGTTAACAATAACATTAATTTTGATGCATTCATATTTTTATGCAATATCAGATTTAAAAAACGAAGCTGCAGTTTGTGACTGTGGACTTTGCAGAGATGCTTGACACACTTTTTGCAGGTGGAAGCACTGATAAGAAATAATAAGAAATGTGTTTGAATGAAAAAAGTCTTCAAAGCTCAGTAACTTTTTGACCTTATTCAGTTTTCACTAACACTAAGTTATAAACTGAAAAAGCCAAAAATGTCCATAAGGACACACAATTGTTAAATCATGTCTTATTCTTTCTAATCATTCTTTGTATAATTTATTTTATATCCTTTCCTTTTCCAATGAAGATCTGCTGATCGCAGTGTTGTCTACTGTTTGCTTTGCCAAAAGCCGCAGGACAACATTTCTGTTCACCTAACCAGGGTGTGTATGAAAAACAGCACGCCAGAGGAAAGCAACCCGGTCTCATCACAAGACGTCATATAACTGGCGTTTTGGGACGTCTTTTGACCATACGTCAATATTCGCCTTTTTAGGGCCCCCTTAAACGTCGGTAGATGAGGTTATGGGATCCTAACTCTACCCCATACCTAAACCTAACCCATCACCTAACTGACGTTAAAGGTAAAGCGTCAGTTGTATGACGGCCCGGGATCGCCATCTACCGACGTTTAAGGGGGCCCTAAAAAGGCGGATATTGACGTATGACGTATTGACGTCAGTTATATGACTTTTTGGGATGAGACTGTGTTAAGGAAAGACAGGCAGAGCTCTAAAAGCAAAGGATTCTCACAGATTGTGGGTCCGCAACAGCAGAATCTGGGACTACAATCAGCTCTGTCTGCTCTTGCCTGACTCACGCTCTCGAGTTTCCATGTTGAAGGAGCTTCTACGGCGTGTTTTTTTGTAACCAACCAGCCCAATGAGTCTGAAATGGACAGAGACAGAGAAGCTGGCAGTGCCTCTGCTGCTGCTGCTCCTCCAAGGTAAGTTCAGTTATTACATGCTTATTACATGATAATAAATAAATAATATATTTTATTGTTCTACATTGAAGATTCTTTCACAACATGGCTTTTATTCTTCAATAGTATTATTTGTAACATTTGATCCAAACAAGCAGCTCATTCAGAAGGCTCCTTCCATTGGAAATTGCCAAAGGATTTTAAGGCTGGCTTACTCCGATGTCCTGAGGATCCACGACGGCCTGGAAATAAACAAAGAGCTGTCAAGCACAGACAAGACCTTAATCCGCTATTACTGCGAGGCGCTCTTGGTCTTTAAACACATTCAGTGTCCACGAGCCGTGGAAGCCTTAACCGTAAGTTCATCTATTTTAACGAATTTATACTTTAACGAATTTATGGGTCAAGCGCACTGAGGTGGGTGAAAGGATTGTGGTCGGGCTGCAGGGGGAGAGAGCCTCCAGCATGCAGATCGCTATTAACAAAGAGGAGCAAGCAGGAAGTTTTAATATGATGCAAACAGTAGATTTCTCATCACCAGTGTTTTACATTTAATAACTCATTGGTCTTTTTTTTTAGTTCTTGCAGCTGTATTTTGTCAAAATCAGGCCCGATTATCTATACAGCCTCAAAAAGACTGTAAAAGTTTTTTTGTTTCGTCGGACGGCGAGGCAGTCCAGTGTGTCTCTCATGACATGAACCGGCTCCATGAAATGTAAGTATCTACACAGATTCATATGCGTGTGTGTGAATGGATCCACATTTTGTCAGTCACAGCACAATTAACATTTCATTTTTCATTGTCTTTCTGCAGGTATGAGATGGCCCCTTTCACCAGCCAGTGTGTGCGGAGGGCAGTTGAAACAGTTGCCAAAGACCTCCCAGAACAACAAAGGGGGGCATTACTGAATTACCTGTCCTTCAGCGCTGGTGCGGCCCAGCCTCAGGATGTCATGGATGCAGCTCAGCTGCTGGAATCATTGGCCAGGTACGTCTCTTCGTCCAACCAGGACATAACTCATCACAAACTATTTGCACAGCAGATTAGCAAGTTTTCATTCATATTTTTTTGCATAATTATAAACCTTGTATTCCTCACTAACAAAGCGGGTCTGCGGACGAGACATCCTTGGCTACGCCTGGCGCTTCTGGGGGACATCGGAGAGACTTTGGGGAATTCATTGAAAGATTTCCAGTTTCGCTGGAGGGTCTGCCTCCATGTAAAAAGAAAAGGGTGGAATACGGTTTTCCAGAAGACCGTGTCTTTTATAATAAATGGAGGGCCGCCCAGTACGCCCAGCGGGAGAAACATCTGCTGTGTAAGTCTCCGAATCCATCAATACAGCATTAACACACACTGACTCGACACGAACTAGGCCATTTATTTACAGTGAATCACATGAGTAAAGTTATTTCATTCTGCCTTTCAGCACATTTCACACTGCACAAACCGTCTGCAGCGAAGGTCTTATCACACAGGAGGGCTGGACGGTGAACTGGCCAAAGCCGGAGGAGATTGTGCTGCAGTGGAGACCAGCCCCAAAGCAAAAAGTAGAAGAAGACCGTTTTGTCATTCAGTGCGTGTCCCAGCAGACATGGACGGGGCTCGCCATCAAGGACTTTGGTGCAGAGCAAGAGCAAGGTCTAGCTAAGAAAACTCTTCATTTGTCTTGTAAGGGCAGAAGAAGCAATAATGTAAAATGTGCATTCCAGCAGCCATGAACTACATGTCATTATTATTGTTCTCTTTATTATAGGAGTCGTCGCAACCCGACGGTTTTACACCAACGATATAGTCTGTGATTACCATGGAAAGGTAATCACAGAGGCTGAAGGGAGGGCCATAGTGCAGAGCCTGAACGACGAGCCTGGATATTGTTTCTTTTTCAAAGCTGGAGAAAGAGAACTGTGTGTAGATTCACAGAATTATCCATGCGAGAGCCACCCTCTTACAAACACTTTTGGCAGAAGAATAAACCATTCTTCAAAGATGCCAAACCTTAAACCGTTCCATTGCAAGATGAAAATTAATGGGGAAGACAAGGATATAATCTTATTTAAAGCGCTGAAGGACATCACTGTTGGCACACAGCTCAAATATGACTAAAGAGAGGCTCTTACCGTGGAGAGGGCCTGAGTCTAGAATGGCTCGACGAATAAGCCAGTTCCAGAAAAACACACTTTTTTTTAAATTACTTATTTAATAGTTCTATTCTTTATATGTTTATTTTTACATTATTTTACTTTTCTATTTTCTTCTAATTCTTAATAAAATTTGTTGTCTTGAAAAAAGTTGTCAAGTTTAATTATTACTGTTGATGGACAGCACACTTATGGGTCATTTTTCAGAATTACATTGACTTTATGAGGTGAAACATGCTTTACCCAACACACAATTTACATTTCAGCTATTAATTATGCAAAATGAATAGGTTACAGCTGGGATGCTGTTTTTGACTTAGAAATTGTATTTAAAATTACAAAATTATAAGCACACCCCATCATAATTCATAATCACTATCATAATTGCATAATTCCTATAATGTACATAATTAGGTTTGCAGCATATACACCAAATTCTAAACAGCATCACATCAGAAATGGGATTCATGGAAGTGGGAATGGTAGTTGTTTAATACATACTTTTTCTCCATCTATGTTGCAATTTTTTTTTAAATCCTCAGACACATATTCAAAAGAAGTGGCTCCTCTTAAATGCATGTTGTTACTTCACTAATATCTAATTTCTACTTGCTTGATTCTAGAAATGTCTGACTCAGAGAGAATGTTTCTACATTCCGCCATCACTGAGGTCTTGCCTGACCTTCCAGAGATGACAAAGGACATTTTAGAAGAGACCTTGCAATCTCTTGGTGTGGAGACATATGAGGACTTTACATTTATTAAGGAAGCTGATTTGCTGTCAGCGTTGAGGCCAATTTAAGCCTGAAGAGTAATTGTTGCTTGGAAATTGAGATGTAAGTGATCTATTACATTACATAATGCTACCAGTGCTAACAATTAGATGGCGTAAAACATCTGAAAGGTTGGAAATTTCACATTGTATTGATAATTGTGTGCAGGCCAGACCCCTGAAAGCAGCAGCTCATCTGTTGATGCCACGCCAAGACCTGCCTCAACCTTAGAGTCTCTATCCAGAAGTTCACAGTCAACCTCTTCCAACCACTCCCAAAGCCCTAATCCAGACTGGGTGGACACCTTTCTGGTACCATGGGACAAGTTACCAGAGGAACTAATGCAGTTATTAGAGAGAGGTAATCGTCCAAGTCCACGGATCAGAAGAGAGATGGTCCGGATTGTGGTTCAAGAGATGATGCGAAAAAATCCTTGCCCAAGTAAAAAGAGTTCTACCGAAGTTGCTAAAAAGATGGTGGCGAAATATCCTAAATCTCTGCAAGACATAATCGAGGGAGATGTGATTGGGCCAGGGTACCACTCTTTGGTTAAGCAACTGCAGTCTAGAATTGAAAATGCGAAGCGTTCTATGACCCCAAAAATTAGAAAACGAAGGCAGAGGAGGTCAAACGTCTAATGAAATTGACTTTCTACACACAGCGTAAACAAGTGAACCAGGGCGGAGATATAAAATGCCTCCTGAAAGAGTGGGAAGATTATTCCCCCCATCCTCAGCCCTGCCAAAAACAGCCCAACCAATACCACCTGCCACACCACAACCAGCAACCTGTAAAGCCACAGGCCCATCAGCAAAAGTCCAACCAATACCACCTGCAACACCACAACCAGCAACCGGTCAAGCCACAGGCCCATCAGCAAAGGTCCAACCAATACCACCTGCAACACCACAACCAGCAACCGGTCAAGCCACAGGCCCATCAGCAAAAGTCCAACCAATACCACCTGCAACACCACAACCAGCAACCGGTCAAGCCACAGGCCCATCAGCAAAGGTCCAACCAATACCACCTGCAACACCACAACCAGCAACCGGTCAAGCCACAGGCCCATCGGCAAAGGTCCAACCAATACCACCTGCCACACCACAACCAGCAACCGGTCAAGCCACAGGCCCATCGGCAAAGGTCCAACCAATACCACCTGCCACACCACAACCAGCAATTGGTCAAGCCACAGGCCCATCGGCAAAGGTCCAACCAATACCACCTGCCACACCACAACCAGCAACCGGTTAAGCCACAGGCCCATCGGCAAAGGTCCAACCAATACCACCTGCCACAACACAACCAGCAACCGGTCAAGCCACAGGCCCATCGGCAAAGGTCCAACCAATACCACCTGCCACACCACAACCAGCAACCGGTCAAGCCACAGGCCCATCGGCAAAGGTCCAACCAATACCACCTGCCACAACACAACCAGCAACCGGTCAAGCCACAGGCCCATCGGCAAAGGTCCAACCAATACCACCTGCCACAACACAACCAGCAACCGGTCAAGCCACAGGGCCATCGGCAAAGGTCCAACCAATACCACCTGCCACAACACAACCAGCAACCGGTCAAGCCACAGGGCCATCGGCAAAGGTCCAACCAATACCACCTGCAACACCACAACCAGCAACCGGTCAAGCCACAGGCCCATCGGCAAAGGTCCAACCAATACCACCTGCCACAACACAACCAGCAACCGGTCAAGCCACAGGCCCATCGGCAAAGGTCCAACCAATACCACCTGCCACAACACAACCAGCAACCGGTCAAGCCACAGGGCCATCGGCAAAGGTCCAACCAATACCACCTGCCACAACACAACCAGCAACCGGTCAAGCCACAGGGCCATCGGCAAAGGTCCAACCAATACCACCTGCCACAACACAACCAGCAACCGGTCAAGCCACAGGGCCATCGGCAAAGGTCCAACCAATACCACCTGCAACACCACAACCAGCAACCGGTCAAGCCACAGGCCCATCGGCAAAGGTCCAACCAATACCACCTGCCACAACACAACCAGCAACCGGTCAAGCCACAGGCCCATCGGCAAAGGTCCAACCAATACCACCTGCCACAACACAACCAGCAACCGGTCAAGCCACAGGGCCATCGGCAAAGGTCCAACCAATACCACCTGCAACACCACAACCAGCAACCGGTCAAGCCACAGGCCCATCGGCAAAGGTCCAACCAATACCACCTGCCACAACACAACCAGCAACCGGTCAAGCCACAGGCCCATCGGCAAAGGTCCAACCAATACCACCTGCCACAACACAACCAGCAACCGGTCAAGCCACAGGGCCATCGGCAAAGGTCCAACCAATACCACCTGCCACACCACAACCAGCAACCGGTCAAGCCACAGGCCCATCGGCAAAGGTCCAACCAATACCACCTGCAACACCACAACCAGCAACCGATCAAGCCACAGGCCCATCGGCAAAGGTCCAACCAATACCACCTGCAACACCACAACCAGCAACCGGTCAAGCCACAGGCCCATCGGCAAAGGTCCAACCAATACCACCTGCCACAATTGTTTACAGCAACCGGTCAAGCCACAGGGCCACCAACCACAGTCCTGCCTCCGACTCATGGACGACATACTCTAGCTGTTGCTGAGAAATATAAGATTTCTTTTTAATTTTAATGGAAAAGATGTTAATACACAAGCACACTAGTCTCATAATTATTTCTCCATTACCCTTAATGATTTACATGAGACTGTGACTGCTGTATTACATTTATGGACAGTGTGGTTACAGTAATGTATGAAGTGATACATTAGGAGCTTTGATCGTATTTTTATTGCCACTTACCTTTTCCACATCGATTTACTAGATATTTTTATTATTGTTTTACTTCTTTATTCATTATTTTTGGCAGATGTACAGGATGTCTGGGCAGGCAAGAATGTCCATGTCCTCCTCTCGAGAGTTGGGGCATACAAATTATTTTACTGGGACATTCACCAGCTTGGTCCAAACATGGAGCTGGAAAGTGAGGTATGTACAGTTTTAACTGTTTTGTAAATCAACTGTAGCCCTCAATGTATTTTTTTATTATTCTATCCTAATCTCTTGTTTAAAATTTCTGTGTACACTTCTTTTGTTCTGTTGAACACAATAGGAAAATATTATGAAGAATGTGTGTAACCAAGATCTCGTCCCCTATTGACTACCATTGTACTTTTTTTTTTTTTTTTTTTAACTATGGTGGTCAATGGGGGAGATTGGCTTGGTTACAAACATTCTTCCAATATATAAAAAAAACTATACAGGTTTGGAACAATCTGAGGGTGAGTCAATGATGACAGAACTATCCCTATAAATATTTATTTTTTTGAGAGACTGCCTTGAACTACCTTTTATTTGGACTTTAATCTGTGATTTTCTTTACACATTTAAGTTCATTATTTATGGACAATTTAATAATCACAATGACTTTTGTTCAATTTTAGATTAAACCCATGGAGTACAAAATCATTGTGGGAATTATAAATGAGCATCACCACTGGAAATTAGCGGTAACATTTACTTTACACTTATTATAAAAGTAAATTACGGCACAGAAGAAAAACGCAGTGCCATAATATTATGTTTCATGAAACACTTGATTGAGAAAAGAACTAATGTATAATTTGTTTTTATGAAAAAAAGGTGATGTACCCACAACAAAGGAAGTCCCTGTTCCTGGATCCACTGGGAGAGTCTAAGCAAGACATCAAAACATGCCTTGAAACAACAAGGTAAGGATAGCTGTAAAAATTAAACTTTAGCATTATTAACATTTCAACATTTAATTTAGTATTGTCACGATCCACACACTGGAAACAGGGGTAAATCCAAAAGCAGTATTTTATTTTTAAAGGGCAATCCATTTCCGAGTCAGCCAGGCAAGGGTTAATAATCAAGGCAGTCCAAAACAAGAAACAAACAAGCAGGAACTAGGAATTTAACATAGACATGAAGTAGTGTGACACCAAATACAAGGACTGCGTTAAACACACTGAAACAGACAGGGTTATATACACAGGGAAAGTCAATGATAATGGGGAAATGGCTGAGTGCAATGATCAGTGATGAGGAACCGCTGAGTGCAATGATAAGACAAGGATCGTGGGAAATGTAGTTCATAAGTGAAGGACACCGTTGGAAAGGAGGACATCTAG